TGGCTTGGCTGAGAGAAGCATTGATGATGGAGCATAGGGGTTTAGCAAGCTCTGGGGAGAACTCCTTGAAGAGTTTCATTGGTAAGTCAATGGGGGTGGTAGAGCGTTTTAATTTCAGTTTGTCCAGGCGTTTTGCTACTTCAAATTCTTCTACTATGTCAGTGGGAAGGGGGGCTGGTAGGTAAGCAGGGAGAGTGGTTGTATCAAGCCGTGGGAGCGTCTGGCATATAGTAGCGAAATGGTTATTTGTTTGCTCAGCTGCGCCAACATTAGTGAGATGGCTAAGGAAGGGGAGGGGGTGTGTCTTATTGTTTAGTCCACAGAGTTCTTTAAGCTTACCATACCATTGACTGATGTTGGTCTGCTTCAGGTGTTGTAATTTGGTTGGGTAGTGGGACTTCTTTGCAGTACGTATTTCGCGGATGACTCGGTTGCGAAGGGACCTGTAGCGGTTGTGGTCATTGAGATGAAAGGCTCTGTCTCTCTGTTGCATAAGTCTTTTGATCCGAGGTGTGATCCAGGGCAAGTCAGCTGGGTGAGATCTGACGGACTTCTCGGGAAGAAGTGGTGGTGAGCTTCCGTGGTGGTGTTGGTATAATTTATCCATTTGGTTTCCACGTCATCCACGCTAAGTACTTCAGTCCAGGGATGGTGAACTATCCACTGCCCGAAGAGGCGCACTGCAGAGTCAGTAATCGGCCTGTAGGTCTTGATGTAGGGTCTCTGTACTTGAGTGGGAGTGGCAGCTGGGGACCAGAGCACTGATAAGTGTGTGCTACACCTGATAGGAGGCATTGGTTGAGGTGGTTGGTACTGGTCCGCTAAGTCAGTTAAGATAAGGTCAAGGGTATTTTGACCGTGTGTGGGGAAGTTCACAACTTGTGATAGTGATAGCTGGTCCTGGATATCAGTGGTGTCAATTTCATTATAATCCCCACATAATACTAACTTGGCACATGGGTACCTAACTCTGAGGTGGTCTGAGGTGGTAATGAGATGATTGATAAGAGTGTCTCTGGTGGGTGAGCGAGGCGGATGGTATGTATGTATGTATGTATGTATGTATGTATGTATGTATGTATGTATGTATGTATGTATGTATGTATGTATGTATGTATGTATGTATGTATACAACAGTCAGAGAACAGCTTAAGTGCATCATGAGTCACTGTCAGGAGTTAATTTGCTGGGTAGTCAGTTTCCATCACACATAACTCCGTGAAATTGTGTTTATTTATTTCCAAACGAAAACTAAACATTAATGACTCAGTGTTTTAAAATCACCTGATAATACCTTTGTTGTTATCACCGGTAAGAAGAAACAAATATAAATTCCTTTTTCAGTCACATCATTATATAAATCCATAATAGATCAATACAAATAATGTGGATATATATATATATATATATATATATATATATATATATATATATATATATATATATATATATATATATATATATATATATATATATATACACACACACACACACACAGTGGTCCCTCGGTTAACGAGCGCCTCGGTTAACGACCTGCCTCCCATAAGATTCTTAAATTCGGTTAACGAGCAACCCCTCGGTTAACCAGCTGTAGTATTAGTCCGCCAATACATAAATCGGCTCTAGGGCTTAAATTCCTTACTATTTTAGTATATATCAAGAAGTTTATACTATTCAATAATTTTAAAAGTTTAATATTCAATTTTTTAATCATTTTAACAATTACTGAACATAATTGAAGGTAAAGTGACTAGTTTAATGCGTGGCATCCAGCCTCTTAACACAGCAAACAGGCATTAGTCTCTCTGTTTTCAGTGGAGGTAACATCTTGCTTGAGACTCTCTTCAACTAAACGCTTTTTTTCTGTGTTTCCAAGCAAATTATTGGTCATTTTGAAATTTATTTTACATATTGACAACATATAGCGCAGTGCAGTGTTATTTTAAAGAAAATATTCTTTATTTACAACGAGTTTAACTTTGAAAAGCACGTGTTGACATTGTTTGAATCCAGCATGGGGCCTAAGAGATCAAGAAAAGCTATTTCAATCCAAACCAAGCAGGAAATCATAAAAAAACACGAACAAGGCATTAGAACAAATGCGCTATGCAAAGAATATGGCATGTCGACATCAACTGTGTCGACAATTCTTGCACAGAAAGACAAATTTAAAGAAGTGAAAGTGAGAGACAAATCTACAAGAGTGTTTAAAAGTAGATCCCTAATTGCAGAAACTGAGAGGTTACTTATCATCTGGATTAGGGAAAAACAGATGAAAGGTGATTCAGTTTCTACTGAATTCATTTGTGAAAGAGCCAGGGAGACTTACGAACATTTAAAGGCAGATCAACCTGGTTCTTCAGGCACAGAATTTGAAGATTTTCGGGCCAGCAAAGGCTGGTTCGAAAAATTTAAGAAAAGAAGTGACATTTTCAGTGTTGTTAGGCATGGTGAAGCTGCTAGTGCTGATAAAGAAGGGGCAGCAAAGTTTTTAGTGAATTTAAAAAACTGATGGAAGAAGAAAATTATCTTCCACAGCAAGTGTTCAATGTGGACGAAACTGGGCTGTTTTGGAAAAAGATGCCCAAAAGAACATTCATCACCAGAGATGAAGCCTCTTTACCTGGGCATAAACCCATGAAAGACCGTCTCACTCTATTGCTTGGTGCCAATGCTTCAGGGGATTTCCGACTGAAGCCTATGCTTGTCTACCACTCTGAAAACCCCAGGGTTTTTCAAGCAACAGAAAGTGGTAAGAGCAAAGCTTGGAGTTTATTGGAAGTCCAACCGTAAGGCATGGGTGACAAGACAGTTCTTTAATGAATGGGCTGTTGAGGTGTTTTGCCCTTCTGTCAAGAGCTACCTAACCACCAATAAACTCCCTTTAAATGCTCTTCTCCTCATGGATAATGCTCCTGGTCATGACCCTCAACTTGCCAGAACTTTGGAGTCTCAATTTAACTTTGTCAAAGTGTTGTTTTTGCCTCCCAACACTACATCAATCATACAGCCAATGGACCGGAATGTGATCAGCAACTTCAAGAAGTTGTACATGAAGAAAATGTTTAGGAGGTGTCATCAGGCAACTTCCAATGATCCTGAACTAACACTGAAACAGTTCTGGAAGACACAATTCAACATCCTGGAGGCTGTAAAATTGATTGTGTCATCATGGCAAGAAGTCTCCAATAGAACCCTCAATTCTTCATGGAAAGCACTGTGGCCATCAGTAGTCCATGATTTTGAGGGATTTCAGGATGACACAGAGTTGGACCAGGAGATTGTGTCCATTGGTCAGTCATTGGGCCTTGAAGTGGAAGAGGATGATGTCGAAGAGCTTGTGATGTCTCATGAGGAGGAACTTACTCCTGATGACTTGAAGCAACTGGATGAGATGTTAGAGGCTGACAATGGTGAGGAGGAAATTGAAAGTGATGACCATGTCAACTAGAGTTGAAAGATGTGATTTCCCACTGGGAGAAGTTCAGGGAACTGGCTTCAAGGCACCCAGATGTGGAAAAAACTGAACTAACTTTGTGTCATGTTGAGGACTCAATGGTCTCCTTCTTTAAACATAAGTTAATGGTGAGGAGGAGAGATGCCCCACAGACCACAATTGACACTTTCTTCAATAAAAGGCAGAGGGAACAAGATGCTATCCCTCAGCCTTCCACTTCAAGAAGTAGAGAGGATGATGCTAGCCCTCAGCCTTCCACTTCAAGAAGGAGAGAGGATGTTCATGGTGGAGAATCTGTCAGTCCAGAGGTTCCTGACATTTTCATGGAAGGTGACTCACCTTCCAAGAAGCAGTAAAATGCTTCTCCTCCACCTCCACTTCCTTCTCTTCTCCCTTCTCCTCCTCCCACTTCAAATTCACATCAGCATCATCATCCAGGAGCCTTCTACATACGCACCTCAAGGTAAGTGTCAATTTCTAAAATTTTTGTTGAAATTAGGCAATTTTCGGTGAGCTGGCACCAATTACCCAAAAACCCATTGAAACAATGGTTTCGGTTAACGAGATTTTCGGTTAACGAGCAACCTGCTGGAACAGATTGTGCCCGTTAACCGAGGGACCACAGTACCTCATAGGTAAAAAATAATGTAATTCAAGACATATTCAGGTCACAAGACCCACTAATCCCCCACCCAACACTGGGTGACCTGACGTTGCATCAGGTCAAGTTAGTAACGTGACCCAATAATCTCTCACCCAACCTTCATCGCAAATGTTAAGACACAATTAGACATTCACACCCGTATCATATCGAACATTTGTTTTTTTAAATATATTTATTTAACCAAAGTTTTAGATAAAGTATTCAGAATTATTTTGATAAAAAAATGGTGTGTCTAACGAAATTAGAACTGATTTTACTGACTCTGGTATCAACATTTCTTACATTGTTTTTATATAGAAGAATGGCATTCCCATCAGTATATCATATAGAAATATTTTGTTTAAGGATATCTTATTGGAAACGTTTGGTAGAGAATTTATTAAGCATCATTATGGTATCAAATTCATCTCCCTATCACAATTAGCCACGCTTGAGCGAGGAAATGGGGGAAGGGGACTGACCACGCAATCCTACCCCCCACATACACCCCTACATCACACACAAACACACCCTCTAACAACCACACACAGACCCCAACACCACTCACACACCCCTAGCAAGGGAACTGAGACACATCTGTGTGTGTGTGTGACTGCATGGTAGCGAGTTAAATATCAGCTGTTGAGGAGTACTTGGCAACACTCATTTCCAATCCATCTCTCTATTCACCCACACCTTTCTTCTTTCTCACTCCATATTTTAAAATATTATGTAGAGTAACGTTGAAGGGATACAACTTTGCTCATTTATACTTATATCTGTACTTACCACAATCTCTCTAAAAATGTTTCAGGTTTTGTGTTTATTCAAGATGTCTTCAGGTCATAGGACCCACTAATCCTCCACCCAAGGAAGGGTAACCTGACATTCCAACTGATCAGTAATATGAGACTGCTAATCCCCCATCCTACCTCCACCTGACAGTGCATCAGGTCAGATCAGTTACACAAGACCCACTAATCCCCCCACAGCTCTATGGGAGTCTTTGCTGTAACACACAGCTTCTTTCATGCCCATATAGTGATATCCCCGGGAATGAGAGATTTCCGGGTAACGAGACGACTCTCTCAAAGCCAGAAAAAATCTCTCATCCCCGGAATTTTCCGGAATTTTCCGGGTAACAAAAAAAAGTTCTCGGAAGTTCCAGAAATTGACCATTACATCATCTTTCAAACCCGGAAAAATATCCCTCATTCCCGAATTTCCCGGGTAACGGAAAAATTTTCTCGGAAGTTCCAGAAATTGAGCATTACATCATCTCTCAAACCCAGAAAAATATCCCTCATCCCCGGAATATTCTGGAATTTTCCGGGTAACGGAAAAATTTTCTCGTAATTTCCAGAAAATGTGTCTGATTTTCATCTCTCAAACCCGGGAAAAAAAAATATATCCCCGGAATTTTCCGGATATCGGGGAAAAAACTCAGAATTTTCTGGAAAATATGCCCCTCGGAAGATCGTTCCCAAAACCGGAATTTTCCGGAAAATTACAGCTTTCGGAACGATTTTCCGAGACAATTTCAATTCCGGGTATCGGAGATTTCCAGGTTTGAGGGATTCTGGCTAAGGGCGATATTAATGTATTTATTTAACCAAACTTTTAGATAAACTATTTTGGATTATTATAGTAAAGATTTCAAGTCTTTAACTTAATTAGAACTGTATTTACAGATTCCAGTATAGTTTAGACTCAAGGAAAGCATCTCCAGCTCCCAGAAACGTTCTGGAGAAGTGGGCTAGTGTGCGTCTGTGCAAGAGGTCTTGTTTAGACACTCGGAAACTTTTCCCAGTAATCGGAAAAGGTTCCGGGGATAAGGAATTTTTTCGGGTTTGAGAAAGTCGTCTTGTTACCCGGAAATCTCTCATCCCCAGAAGTCCTTTGCACCAATTGTTCCGGCTAATGGGGATATCACTGTACTTTGTACTGTACTCAGTGTTTACCACCCTATCGTTTGAGCCTGTTATTCACTCTCCATGCTTTGCTGTTATCCCTTGTTTAACAATAATTTTGCTTAAAGTTAGGTTTTTCAGGAAAACAACCTCATTGTTAAACGAGGGATACCAGTATTCAGTTTCATAAAAAAATACTGTACTTCTCAAATATTAATTTGCTGATTCTGATGTAATTAACTTACCATACAGTAGAGAACAGGTAGACTGAAATGAGACAAAACACCATGGTGAAATTTGACAGAATGGCAGGAATTGAAGAACACAATAATCTTCTTTTTTCTTAATGTCTGCAACACAGTCACGAGCATTGAAATTCTATCGCTGGTGCCCACTGACAAATAGTCTGAAAGAAATAAACAAGAAATCAATAAAAAGAATACAGGAGTGGTAAAGAATTCCTATTTTATAACAAGTATGTATTGGGTAACTTACACACTGTGCTAACAAGTTTACAGGTATAAACCCAGTGTTCCTCATAACCAGTGATGTACAGTACAGAGAACATTACAGGGGGCAGGAGGCCCTTTTTTCCTCAATGAGCCTTCTTGAGGATAAAAGGGCAACTTTTCAAGCATGTGTAATATGACACTGAAAGACAGGAAACCCTGTTCAGAGCTAAGAGGGCAGCTGGGTATGGAGAGTATGGATGAAGTTTTGCATAGAGGCAGGTTGAGATGGTTTGGGCATGTGGACAGAATGGATGAGACCAATTGTGTCATGAGGTGCATGAACCCAAATGTGGATGGGGTAAGCCAAGAATGACATAAGGAGAGATTGTAAGAAATAAGGTAAGAGTTAGGAACCTGACAAGTTAGACTGCAAAAGATTGCGCAGCATGGAGAGCTGTCATCAGGTAACCCACACAAGCAAAATGGCCAAAAAACAACGATGATGATGCTGAACTGATGTGAAAAGTGTTGTGCCATATACAGTGACCTGCTAATTTTAACGCTCGGTTAACGAAATTTCGTTAACGAACTGCCTTCCATAAGGATCTTCAATTCGGTTAACGAACAAAAATTCGGTTAACGAATTTCTTACGAACCGACCTCAACATGTTTTCGCTTGCACTGGCCGGGCAACCAGCTTTAGTATCAGTCCGCCAATACATTAATCGGTTCTAGGGCTTAAATTCCTAACTATTTTAGTAAATATCAAGAAGTTTATACTATTCAATAATTTTAAAAGTTTAATATTCAATTTTTTAGTCATTTTAACAATTATTGAACATAATTGAAGGTAAAGTGACTAGTTTAAAGCGCAGCATCCAGCCTCTTAACACAGCAAACAGGCGTTAGTCTCTCTGTTTTCACTGGAGGTAACATCTTGCTTGAGACTCTCTTCAACTAAACGCTTTTTTCTGTGTTTCCAAGCAAATTATTGGTCATTTTGAAATATATTTTACATATTGACAATATATAATGCAGTACAGTGTTGATTTAAAGAAAATAATCTTGAAATACACCAAGAGAACTAAAATTTTATGGGTGAAATGGTGCCATGGGGTGACTTCTCTTCCACCCCAATGCCTTCTCTTCTTCCTTCTCCTCCACCCCCATTGTAATTCCATCATCATCATCATCATCATCCAGGAGCCTTCTACATACACACCTCAAAGTAAGTGAACTTTTCTACCATTTTTGTTGAATTTAGGAAATTTTCGGTGAGCTGGAACCAATTACCCAAAAACCCATTGAAACAATGGTTTCGGTTAACGAACGGTTAACGAACGACCTTCTGGAACGGATTGAGTTCGTTAACCGAGGGTCACTGTACAGTGCTGTACGCGTCAACGAAAAAAGTGGAGCCGCCAGAGTCAGTGTAAACGGCTGAGAAATTTGATGCCGTCAGCATCGGCGTAAACGATTTCATAAATTGACGCCGTTAGCGTCAGCGTCAACAACTAGCGTCAACGAGTTTTCAGTGACGTACAAATGCAGCCCCGAAATGCGTATTCTCCTGTGTATGGGAGTAACATATGCAAAATCAAAAAAATATAAATTCATTTTTCATCATTTATTATGATTTACGGGTATATTATATAATTTTAATTATTCATTTGTTCCCCCGCAAGAATACTAGCATCTCAAAATGCTTGTCACTCATTCTGCTGAATGTTCTCCATGGACGTCCTTGTCCATGGAGAACATGTGCTCCACGGCAGCACTAGAGGGGATGGGGGTGTTGTATTTGATGAACAACTCCCTCATGGCCTTGTTGGGGAAAGTGTCCTTGTCGAAAATCGGGCGTCGGGCGAGGCAAAACTTTTCCTAGTCATCTTTATAACAAGATACAGTAATTGAAAATCGAACTTGGAAAATTTGAACATTTTAGAAGTTGACGAACAAATTGACGCTTGGGTGAAAAGTTAACTGCGTCACCTGCCCAAAAAATTAATGGCGTCAGCATTAACAAAAAGTTCCCGCCGTTCATTGACAGCGTTAAATTAACGGCATCAACGTACAACACTGGCCATATAGCATTGAGTCATTGGCTTCAGTGAACTTAAATAAGAATGGTGAGGTGGATGTGCAATGGTAGCAGCATGACTTTTTTTTTAAGGGGATTAGCCAACCTGGGCACAGGTCACTGACCCACATCGGGGCCGGGGGGAATAATGTAAACCCTTGATTACTCAGCAATCAATATCTCGGAATTTTATAATTCAGCATGTATATGGTCTCAGAATTTATTATAAAATAATTTGGGAAATGTCGAGTTATATAAAATTATCTGGGAAAATCTCAGCATATTTGGCCAAGTGGGTAACACTCGCCGCGCTGCATTCCACGCTTGGTTAGTCTGGTGTTTGTTATTGTTGTGGTCGGGTGTGTGCTGGCTCACTCCACCCAGTACATGGATGTGGGAAGGGAGGGTGCTGTAGTACCCCAATATTTTGGGTATAAAGTACAGCTGCTCCTTGACTTACGGCGGGGTTAGGGACCCATATCCAGGTCGTAAGTCGAATTGGTCGTAAGTCGAAAATGCTTAAATAATACATAGAAAATCTAAAATGGGTGCCTCTTTTTCTTCTCAGCACCACAAAACTCTCACTTTTAAGCTTGCCAGCCATTTTAAAGTGAATTACAAACGAAAATTTTGTCAGCACACAGCGCAATCACTAACGTTGGGACTCGAAAATACGTAATTTGACAAAATTTTGGTACGACTGAGGCGGTCGTATGTCCGGGTGGTCGTAGGTCAAGTATGTCGTAAGTCGAGGAGTAGTTGTACTATACATTGCACCACAGAGTATCTAGGGCACCAAAATTAATATTCAACACTCACTGGTAAAATCTGGTTCCTGCGGTACTAGCCCAGTAACACCCAACAGCCTCCCCCATTCATGTCAGGCCAGCCACTGTAAGCAGAACGTCTCCACTATTAAGGTAAATCCAATGACATAGACTATTTCATTTACAGTGCAATTGATTTTATCAGAATTCCAACTGTTTGAATCTTCCCGGTATCCCAACTATGTCCCCTTTGGTAAAAATTCTAATTCAGTCCAACAATACGAAAGCAACTTAAGTCATTTCTTCATATGTCTGACACCAGTAGTGACATACCCACTTTATAAACAATACTTGCTATGATAATCTATAAAACTGATACATAGCATATCATAAAATACACTAGCACATATTTTATGTAAAAAAAAGATAAAAATAAAATAAAATAAAATCTTCCACACTCAAACCATCATCTAAGCGATGCCACAGTTCAACCAGGCAGTCAACCAGCTGACTGAGACTATTGTATGTGTGTGTGTGTGTGTGCCATGACATCACATGGGAGGGAGGGAAGCGGGTGAGTCAACCACGCAGGACAGCTCACTGAGTGGCCTTAACATGCGTTCACCTTCCACACACACACACACATACTCTGTTTTCTTATTTTATAGTTTTATATTATATTTTCTTTATTTATAACCCACATTAGAACATTTAAATTTTTACTCTTTTGCTCTGTAATAGAGAAAATAGTTTTACTGTACAAGAGTGGACTATAAAATCCTGAGTGATATAAGTTACATGCTTATTTACAAATTATATGTAGAGAAAACAATTATTTTAGTTAAAATTTATTCTTTATTTTGTATAAGCGACCAAATTACAGTACAGTAGAACGTCGATATAATACAAGATACATTCCAAGAGAGGTCGCTTTAAACCAAATTCGCAGTAAATCGAAGTGTTGTTTCAATGGAATAATTTAGTTTGGTATTTGAGAGAAACACAAAATACTAAAAAGACCGAGAGTCTACCCGGATGCACCTCAGCCCATCTCCTAGAATAAACAAAACATTGTTTTTTGTAGTATTATGTTAAAACAAACACTCATAAATCAACACAGCTAAAATTATGGGACGTGAAATGGTCTGTTTACTAGCGATCAGCTGATGTGAAGATTGGGGAGAGGGGGGGGAGGCGAGGTGATATGTTTGACAGTTGATGCCAAGGTCTAGTGCTTATTTATTTATCTGTCCTTAAGAGTGCCTTTAAGGTTTTCTCTTATAAAATGTCACTGAACTGACATGTTCCAATTAATTTTATTACATAGGGATAAAAAAAATTATCTTGTGCAAAATATATGACATTTATATTCAAAATATTCGGTCTTGGAAGGATTATAGCAATGCAAATTATATTCTCCTAACTTTAGTCTGTGATATTTTATAAGATAAAAACTGCAAGCCTAAAACCACCAAACCATGACTGGGAAAATGGGGGAGGGGGAGGGAGGGGAGGGAAGTGACAGTGACATGATGTGGAAAGTGTGAGGGTGAAGGTGTGGAATATGAGGGTGTTGTGGAGTGAGAGGCTGTGGAATATGAGAGGGTGGTGTGTGGATGTGTAGAAATGAGGGTGGTGTGCAGTTGAGGGTGGAGTGTGGTGTGGGGTGTGTGGAGTATGAAATGAGGGTGGTGTGCAGTTGAGGGTGGAGTGTGGGTGTGTGCAGTGTGATGGTGGTGTGTGGGAGTGGACATGTGGAGTGTAAGAGAGAGGTGGGTGGTGTGTGTGTGTGTGTGCCAGGCCTATTGTCCCCCCCTGCACACTCACATAAGTTGTTCACCTTTATCACCTGCTCTTAACTATCACAGCTCATTCTTACTGCTGCCTCATTAAGCAACACTTGAAACAATCCCTGTTCACATTTACACCGTAACTACAGCTTAACCACACAACGGCCAGACAAGCACAGAGAGCAGCGGATCTCCGTACCTGGTCGGTCACTGCTGAGTCCTGAAATGAGAGCGACAGCTCCCTATGGTCCCGACCAACCCATACTAGGTCCATACGCGTCCAGAACAAGGACGGTCCCTGCCCGAGACACGAGAGTGGCGGCTTCCTTTACCAGGAACCGCTTGTACACGTCCAGGGCAAGGACAGTCTCAAATTTGGAAACCAGTAGCATGATAGTTATTTGAAGACCAAAATTCTGACCTTGCTCTGAAAAAGGATAAATTAAAAGCCAAAGAGCATTTAGCCATAAAATATATATTTTCTCTAACCAACAACCCATCAAAAAGGCTACTTTGGACATTTTGGACTCATCTCTTTATTCCCCCCTGGAATATCCAAATTTCCCCCAGGGGGAATTCCCCCCGGTTGGGAACTCCTGTTCTAACGCGTTCTGTACTCCAGGCGCCTTTCCATGTCTTCCTCAGTCAGGTGTGGCTTCTTTGTGGGTATATGGGCATGGCGGTCAATGCTGTGGTGTCTGTTTCTGATTGCCTGTGGTGTGCAAGCCAATCCAAGTTCTTGTTGGATGCTGGGGGGCAGTGGTAAATGGTCTGTTTTGGATGGTAGCTGCTATTGCTCTCTCCTGTGCAGGGGTTGTGCAGCGATGCCGCCCGGCTCCAAGCTGGTGCAGGATCTGTCCTGTATTATCGTGGCGCTTTATCCATAAGGCTATGGCGTGCTTGGAAACACCAAGCCGCCTAGCAATCGCACCATTGCTCAGGCCTTCTCCATGAAGTGCTATGATTGTTGTGCGTGTTCTCTCTGAGGTCTTCATAATGACTGACACAGCTATTACTGGAGTATGGCCTATTACAACTCCTGCTGTTTGCTCTGATTATCTGCCCTTTGCAGATCGAAACTGCTCCGTTTTTAACAGATTCATTACATTCTTTTAAACGAGCACACTTCCTCTGGCAAAATTCTTTGCTACACTGTGTTAAATAACACTGACAATGTTTTTGCTTTGTGAATTTTACTACCAGTTACCCTCAGTTAACCCCCTATTCATCTCATATATTGTGACATATTAAAGAGATATAGCTCGTTTCTTAACTCACATATTTCCGGTAGCTCAATTCCCTCTGCGTAATATTGTATAACTTTCCTACGTTACAAATGTTTTGTAAAAAAAATTTCTGGTTGAGGTCTTTTATTATGCCACTTCTCATCACTTTCTCAGATACAGTGGTCCCTCGGTTAACAAACACAATTCGTTCCAGAAGGTCGTTCGTTAACCAAAAATTTCATTAACCGAAACTATTGTTTCAATGGGATTTTGGGTAATTGGTTCCAGCTCACCGAAAATTACATACAAACTAAAAATAAATGCAGTAAAATACAGTGGGGTATGCTATAACGAACGTAATTGGTTCCAGAACCTCCTCATTCGTTCGTTATAGGATTAATCCGTTCCAGGCCCCCAAATACAACCACTTAACACTGAAAAAATTCTGTGGAAAATGTAAAAAATACGGTACTTTATCTTACCTTAGTGTTGTTCAGCATGCAGGACAGGAGGCAGAGGGGGAGGGGGGAGGAGGGGGGAGGAGAGAATTATTGAGAAGAGGTGGAAGGAGAGGAGTCATCCTTCCTAGCCCTCTTTGGTGACTGTCTCACAGGCACTTTGTCTGTATGTTCTTTTGTTATCTTTGTAAAGAAGGTATCCAGGGTTGGCTGCTTCAACCTTGATTTCTGGACCTTCCAAAAGTAGTTCATAACATTGTCATTGAACACACTGATGGCCTTTTGCACAGAACCAACATCAGGATGATAATCCTCAGCAAGCTTGGACAGTTTGCTCCAGCAAAAGAACGCATCCTTGAGATCTTTGGCTGGAATGATGCGGCTTTCCTCCTTGTCCTCCTCCTCCCCTGACTCCTCAGAAGTTAAGCTCCGCTTCAGTGTCTCGTTTTCCTCTTTGTGAAGCTCAAGCAGCTCCTCAGTGGACAATTCCTTACTGTGCTCTTCCACCAACTCCTCAACATCATCATCATCCACTTCCAGGCCCATGGAATTGCCCAGAGCCACAATTTCATGAACAACAGCCTCTTCTTCTAACTCTTCGAAGCCTTCAAAGTCTCTTTGAAGGACACATTCAGGCCACAATGGCCTCCAAGCAGCACAAAGACACCTCACAGTAACCTCTTTCCAGGCTGAGGTAATTAAAAATACAGCATCTGCTATATTGAAGTGACTCTTCCAAAATTCCTTCAAGCTAACATCACTGGAAGAAGTGGACGCAAAACATTTTCTAAACAGTGCCTTTGTGTACAGCTTCTTAAAGTTAGAAATTACCTGTTGATCCATGGGCTGGATGAGAGGTGTTGTGTTGGGTGGCAAGAAGTGCACAGTGATGAAGTTCAACTCCTCTGGCAATTCAACCATCAAATTAGGAGGGTGGGCTGGTGCATTGTCCATCACCAACAAAGCTTTTAGTGGAAGATTATTCTCCCTGAGGTATTCCCGAACACTGGGTCCAAACACCTCAATCACCCACTCAGAGAATAAATTCCTGGTCACCCAAGCCTTTGGGTTTGACCGCCACATAACACCAAGGCGGGTCTTCCTAGTGTTTTTTAAAGCTCTGGGGTTTTCTGCATGGTACACAAGGAGTGGCTTTATTTTGCAGTCACCAGAAGCATTAGCACAAAGAAGGAGGGTAAGCCTGTCTTTCATTGGCTTATGGCCAGGGACAGAAGTTTCCTCCTTGGTAATGTATGTACGGCGAGGCATTTTTTTCCAAAATAGTCCAGTTTCATCACAGTTGAATACTTGCTGAGAAACAAAGCCTCCCTCTTTAATAATATTCAAAAAAATGTCATGGTGTTCCTTAGCTGCTTCCTTATCGGCACTAGCAGCATCACCATGTCTCACAACACTATGTATTTTATTTCTCCTTCTGAAACCAGTAAACCACCCCTTGGTACCCATAAACACTGGCACATCACTATCACTTGCACTGGGAGTCTTGGCTTTAAGGTCCTCAAACAATTGTCTGGCCTTCTCACAAATTATAGCTTCACTAATGCTATCACCTGCCATTTCTTTCTCCTTTATCCACACTAAGAGTAAATTTTCCATCTCCTCAATCACATTACACCTTGCTTTGCTAAGTCTAGAGATTCCCTTAGCCACTTGCACTGTTTTCAACTCCTCTTTATTCTTTAAAATCGTACATATAGTCGATTTAGCCATCCCATACTCATCACTAAGTTTCGCAATGCTTCTTCCATTCTCACGTTTCTTTATAATTTCTTTCTTAGTTTCAAGGGTTATTAGCTTTCTCACTCGCTTTGGACGACTCATTGTTACAATTGTATACTTGTATAACAAAATAGTTATACAAATAACGCGAATTTCCACATCAAAAGACGAAATTTCAACAATAACAGTGGTGCACTGGCTACACAATGAGACAAAGATGGCGCCTGACGCTCTTGTTGTGGGTCGCGGTACAACAATATTCATGCGCCAGGTGAAGTAGTCCCGTATTCATCCGCGTTTGTTATAGCATACCCCACTGTATATATATACGTATATATATATATATATATATATATATATATATATATATATATATATATATATATATATATATATATATATATATATATATATATATATATATATATATATCTCGGCTTATAAGACGGAATTTGAACATTAAAAAATCTGCCCAAAGTTAGGGGGTCGTCTTAATCACCAAGTATAAAATTCTTACCTCTTAAATATTGTGGTTTAGTGTGTCAAGAGTGGTGATGGAAACATCATAAGCCACTCACAAGGTCCTACCACTAATTATTTTATACTGAAACTTACGTTTGGCAAGCTGGATTCAAATTAAGATTACCAGTATATTAAAATAATAAAAATGTATTATAAACCTGTCTAACATACCGTAAAAGAGAATTATACCCCTGTAATAAACACAGCTATCATCACACACCCCTCCCCACGCCCCCCCCATTTGCCAGTGAGGAGACAAGAAAGGGAAAGTGACCGCGAGATTGGGCTATTTTTAGCCGTGGAGGTGGTCAGTAATGCATATCGGTATATTTACTGATAATAATACTTATCTCCTATAAATAATTAATTTAAAATTTATTTTTTTACAAGGAATATTCAGTAAATGACTGCATTAATTCTTGAAACTACCGACAGTTAAATACAGACGCTTGAGTGACGTCACTAGTGTTTACACTACACCAGCTGGTAACATTTGATGCCATTACTTGAAGTGAATTGGCCTTATTTTAAGTAACTAACCATAAATAAATACAAAAAGTAAAAAAAAGATCAAAAGTGAGAAATAATATACTGTATGTATGTTGTGTTGTCAAAGTTAGAGGAACAATTCAAACTGCAATTGTGTGTAAATGAGGCAGAAAGTCAGGTCAGCGCTGAACCTGGGACTTGGTCACAATTTTCGTGATGCCATATGGCAGCAGGGTCTACCATTAGACAACACATTATGCTTCCAATATCTTCCCAGGCAGTAGTATCTACCTGTTTGGTAGCTGCCTACTACCTACACAATTTTTAGTAATATTACTTTGATACATGATAAATTAGACAAACAATGAAAATAAACATCAAATTTAATTACCAAGACACTTCCCATTGGCAGCTGTAAGAAGAGGGGGAGATGGGCTATTTTTATCCCGTCTTTGTGTCTGAAGTGGCCAGTAATACCATATATTTACTGATCATAATACTTATCTCCTATAAATAATTAATTTAAAATTTATTTTTTACATAGAATATTCAGTAAATGACTTTTAAATAAATAAACAAATAATTCGGTAAATCTATTTCAAGTAAATGGAAAATAAGCAAACAAATGTTATTTACCACCACCCTTCCCTCTGGCTCAGGGTGAGATGGAGGGGAGATAAAGAAGGCTATTTATAGCCCGTCTTTGTGTCTGAAGTGACCAGTACCCTAATGCACCATAAATAATTCATTTAACATTTATTTTTTGTACATATATTTTGTTGTATATATATATGTATATATATATATATATTGTGTATATATATATATATATATATATATATATATATATATATATATATATATATATATATATATATATATATATATATATATATATATATATATATATATATATATATGTTTGTGTAATAAATGTATGTAGTAAGTACGTGCCGTAATCTTTTTCACTCAAATCCTAATGAAACACCACAATTAGAATACGGTGGTAGCTGTTGGTAGCTGTTGTATAAACAGTGGGAACACAGTCCCACCACCGAGACGAGGGAACACTCCCACCACCGATCGTCTCGTGCGAAGCAAGCGTATAAATTAAAGAAAATACTTGCAGTGTGTTTAATATGTTACAGTATATTATAAATAAATAAATAAACAAATAAATCGGTAAATCCATTTCAAGTAAATGGAAAAATTTTACTCGACACAGACATTAGTTCCAGTTACCGGTAAATAGCAGACGCTTCAGTGACGTCACTAGTGTTTACACTACACCAGCAGGTAACATTTGATGACATTACTTGAAGTGAATTGGCCTTATTTTAAAAAACCAAGGATGGTTGGTAAAGGACTACTGAGTCAGTGGGTAAGTGCCACATTTGGGGTACTGGTCTTATACAGCGAATAGAGCTCAAAAGCTACTTTTTAAATGGAAATTTGGGGGGGCCGTCTTATGCACCCCGACGCCTTATAGGCCGAGATATACGGGCACTTTGAGGTGTGCATGTAGAAGGCTCCTGGTTGATGATGATGGGAACTAGAAGTGGGGTGGAGGAGAAGGGAGAAGAGAAGGCAGTGGGGTGGAAGAGAAGTCACCCCATGTTTCATGCCGCCATTTCACCCATAAAATTTTAAGTTCATTTGGTGTAATTCAAGATTAAATCAGCACTGCACTGCACTATGTATTGTCAATATGTAAAATATATTTCAGAATGACCAATAATTGTTCTGTAAAAACGTAAAAGTAGTTTATGTTCAAGAGAGTCTCAAGCAAGATGCTTCCTCCACTGAGCAGAGACACAAACTGACACCATTCTGGGTGAGTCAAGTGGCTGTTTGGCTCGCTAACAACTAGTTCCCTGTACTTCAATTATGTTAAATAATTGTTAAAATGACTAAAAATTTTAATATAAAACTTGGAAAATTATTGAATAGTACAACCTTCTTGATATTTACTCAAATGGTAACGAATTTAAGCCCTAAAACCGATTACTGTATTGGTGGAC